CTACTACTACCTACTACTGCTACTGCTACTGCTACTGCTACTGCTACTGCTACTGCTACTGCTACTACTACTACTACTACTACTACTACTACTAGTACTACTCCTGCTGCGACTACTACTGATAGTAGTCGTACTGCTACGGCTACTGCTACGACTACTGCTACTGTTGCTACTACTACTACAACTACAACAACAACTACTACTACTACTACTACTACTACGACGACGACGACTGCTACCACTACCACCAGCAGCACCACCACCACCATCACCACCACCATCACCACCACCACCACCGCCACCGCCATCAGCACCACTGCCACCACAACCAACACCACGACCACAACAACCACTACTACAGGGAGGAGGAGGCAGAGGAGACGGTCTACGACGATGACGATGGAAACTAGTACTGCTGCCGCTATTTGACTACCACGAGTCTTGCTACAGTCTTACTATTTCCACCAGCATCACCAGCAACAAACAGCAACAGCACGACGATGATGACAACAATTACGACAACGGTGTTGAAACAAAACGAGCATCAAGTTGAGGTTTAGTGTTTGTGAGCAAGATTTATCAAAGTGGTTTTGAATGATTTTGTCTGCCAAGTGACTATATATGCGTATTTTCAGGGTTCACCTAAAAAGAATAATCCCAAAGCAATATGATACAAACAAGCAACCAAACAAGAGTGCCACCCTCCAGCATCATGAAGTTCTCCGGCAAAGCCAGCAGGTCAGCAAACCCTCCATCAAGAGCCCCGAAACCTTTCACCGGTCATAAACCAAAGCCACACTATGAAGCTCGCTGAATGCCCTAAGACCGAACCATAGAGCAACAACGCTGTACAACCCTTACGTCAAACAGTATATTAATGTACATGCATATAATATAGATGCGCAGATGGACAAGTCGGTTGATGGATCATGGATGGACGGATGGAGGGATGTATGGACGGGTAGACGGATGGAGGGGTGGACGGGTGGATGGCTGGATGGGTCCGTAGGTGGGCTGGTGGACGGATAAGCAACTCGATGGATAGGCAGATGAACAGATATTTAGATACAGGAAAACTAACCCTTAAACCCTAAACCAAAAGCCGATAGGCAACTTGCTAGACTAACAGATATTTAGATGCCGAAAAACTCAGAAACTACCTTCAACTCCATGGCTCCCCCAAACCATCAAAACCTGTGCCGTCGTGGCACGCCGCGGTCTGGAAGCTTTGACTCAGCCATGGCGAATGCTGTGACACCCTTTCCCCAAGGGTCCTATGTACTGTTATGGGGGATACTTCCCTAAATCATAATAGTAATTCCTAATATAGAAACCCTACATTCTACTATATAGGTACATTGGACCCTTGGGGTTTGGGATTTTGGGTGAAACGGTTCCACTGGAGCGCTTCCAACACTCTATGGGGTTTAGGGTTACGGGATCAGGATCTCGGTTTTGGGGCTTGATACAAGGCTCTCAACAGGTCGGCGTAACATTCTGGAGGGTCTTCTTGGAATGGGAGTGAATCCTTGGTTGGGGCTCTTGGCGGAGGGGCAGACATATGCGCAGGTACAGCAGTTCCGCGTGTCAGCCGCCATGCGTAAACCCCTAATCCCTCGGAAATCTGGCGGCTCTTTCTCGTGTTGCATGGTGTCGGAGACTTAACAATTAGAAGAGGGTTTTGGGCTCCCTTATAGTCTAGCTTTCATAAGGAACCCCAACAAATAATCTTGGCAATATTTGGGAATTTATATTACATGTCAAAACCTTCGCTGGCTTGAGAAACATGGCGATCGGAACCACGGCTTCGGGTTTAATATAGGAGGGAATTTGAGGCTTCAGGGGTTCCGGATTCAGGGCAGGATGCACCCGACTGAGAGTTTCACGGTTTAGGGTTTAGGGTTTAGGGAGGTGAAGACTTCGGAACCACCACCGCAACGCAAGAAAAGCATGGCACCCAAGCCCTGAACCCGAAAGCGTACAACCTTAACCACAACTGTGACTGAGAGCTAGAAAGCTGGGTTGAGTGCCTGAGCGGCAAGCCTCCTAAACCCAAAATGGACCGACTAACCATGAATTGGAGAGCTCCGCCACCAGACAGCTCTCTAAACCTGGCACCTTAGTTCCTCAACCCTCTCCGTGAACCCTAGACTCTCGTCGCCATTACACCCGCCAGGCCCGATTCCCCGAACCTTTACAGTAGATCCTTCAACTTCACTATACCCCAATCCATGACTCAGAAACCCTAAGCCGGCAAACCCTTGTGAAATCGTGCAAAACACCGATAAGTCGCACAAAAAAAGGAAACACACCACAAAAGCGATAGAGGCAGGCCCCTTCTCAACACCCCATACAAACCCTTCAATCCCCCGATCAAACCCTGCGATTCCCGAAGCCCTCAACCCCACTCCCGAAAAGCCGTTAACCCCCCACACAACCCTAAACCCTAAACC